AAGTAGAAAATAATGAAGTAATGGAATAAGTTAATAGTAGAACAGTGGCAAAATAATTTTAAATCTCATATGAGGGTTGTTATGGCAATAGGAAAAGAAAATTTGAAGAGAGATGTGGAACATCATAAAAAACTTTCTGGAGTAGTTAGTGCATCTCAGCTGTTATGACCTCTGGGACAACCCTGAGTAGGGTCCTCGGTGGAGTGGGTTCTCCACACATGCTCTAATTGGACTCCCTGCTTCTCTTCTGTAATCTGGGCCTTCCATAGTAGTGTAGCTACTAGTACAAAAAGAAATATGTTGCTCATTTTTTTCTACTTGTAAAACTGGATTTATTCCTGAACCCCGGGGAGGGCTTTGAAACTGGAGGTGATATTAAAGAGTTTCAGCCTTTTTGTCCATCTTCCATTTGTATTTTGAAGAGTGGTTACAAATTGCTCTAGGGAAAGTTGAGAAGCAATAACTTTAGGATTTAAGGGGAATATAGTAATTTGTGTTTCACACTTTCCTTAGATAGTTTCTCAAAATCTCCCAGGTGATATATGTTTCAAAATAATATTGTTTTAATCTATCGATGACAAATGAATAGGAGCACTTGAATTGCTTCCAACCAGAAAATAAGATTAGCCTACAGTCATTTGTAATTCTTTGCAGCCATCTCTTACGTGATAAATAGGTATCTGCTAGATTCTTTATGCTGGAAGATCCAGATCCAGATAGTCTTTGCTTGGGAAGGAAATATTTTATCTAAATCTTTTCAGTTTGATGTTGCATCAGAGAAACAAGGATTATTATAACTTTTGTCCTACTCAATATACCGTATTACTAATTTTGCTATATTGTGAAGTTTTTTATTACTCAGCAAGGGTTTAGAATATTCTTGTTCTTCAATATGGGTAACTTAGTTTATGCTTTGAGTACTATTCAGGGAAGAGTATGGGCAGTGAATTATGTGTAACTCTTGAGTAAGTTTCGTATCAGGGTACTGAAATGATATTGCTGTTGATATCATAAGGTTACTAGTAATTTTTGGTGATCTGTTTTCAATATGTATACAAATATTAAGTTATCATGATGTACACCTAAAACTAATATAGCATTCTATCAGTTACAGTTTAATAAAAAAGAAAATAAAGAACAGACATGTCAGTCTTACGATATCTTTAATCCAAAAAATTTAGCAAATTTTTATTTTGATTAAATGGGTTACTGAACTTATTGGTTATACTCAGTCAAAGTGTTCAAAGATTTCTACATAGAGTTATGGACATAAAACTAGTCATGGGTTAACTAATCTTAAAATGGGAAAAATTGAATACAAAAATTCACATTAATAACAATTGTATATGATACACTGCACATGGACTGGCACCATGCTAACAATCACATTGCAAATTCTGACCAGTTGAGGACTTATAGATAAGGAATGCATGAATTGCCTATAATAAGGGCCATGACTCTCAAGGGAATTATTATGTGGTTGGGGGGGCTTTAAGAATATGGTGTCCAGAATCTTTGATTTTCCACAGGTATGCTTGTGTTTGTGCAGTATGTACATGTGCACCATGTGTGGCAAAAGTGATGGTAGTATGAAAGGCTAAAAAATTCCAAGGTGTGGAAAGAGATCTATGGAAACCTGAGTAAACAAGGAATTCCAATAATATAATATTTTAATATAATAATAATGATAGTCTAATTTGTGCATCTCTATGTACCTGACATTGTATTGGGTACTTCTATTTACAAAACCTACCATTAGTGTATGAATAATCAATGAGTCCTGTGCTACTGTTTTTAAGAATTCCAGACACTTGGACCTCATTCTTGCAGACTCTGAAAATCTACATTATTGTATGGCCATTCTCCTATAGCTCTTCTATTTTTGTATCATAATTACTTGGATGCTTAACTTATTTTCCATGTTAAACTCTACACTTCTTGATTGCTATTCACCATATTTTTATAGTGGTTTTATACTCAGTGGATAAATGCTAAATATCTAGTTAGTGAGTGAATGAATTTTTCTCTTGATCTGAGTTCTACAAATGGTAAACACAGCAATGCAACATCATAATTCAAGACAATACATATGAAAGTAATCAGCCATTCTAAATAAATAGCAGGATCCTACTAATAACACAAAAATTGTAACTGTGCTCACAAAAATTAATAGTAGAACTATGACTACTTATTTAACATTAATTTTTCATTGCTGAGCTTGTTAATAAAAATGCTACTTTCTTTCCTAAAGGAATCTCCATAATGCAAATGTTTCATAAGTATGTTTTATTCTACAAGTATTTGCATGTTCAAATTTGTGAGGCCCAGAATTTCATACTGCCAGTCTCAAATTACCATTTAAAGTTCTAATGCTGAAATTTGCAAAGGTGTAATTAGGAGGTGAAATAATAAAACCTTCCAGTGTCCACAATACAAAATGTCAGTGCTGCTAACAATTAAATGTGGTAACATTTAAATAATGAACTTCCATTGACACTCGAAGAATAAAATGTAGCTATTAGGACGACATCTACATAGCAGATGATTTCACAGGAAAGCGCTCAGACCTCCATCAAGTTAGGAATCAATAGAACCTAGGCAAGTGTGGTACAAAGGCAAGGTCTCAGCTCCTGAAAGGCCCTCTGTGCTAGAGCTATATTAAATTATCACAGCTAATGCAAACCAACCTTGGAGTAAAAGATAAAAGGGTGAAGTTCTCACAAATGATCATTTATCACCCCATTCCGAAATGCAGACAGCATTCATTACAGATTGAAATGCCACTCAAATTTCATCATTTAGTAGGGTTTTGAAACAGCCAAACCATTAACAGGGGAGAGTAGCTTTTTATATTTATACAACCAGTGACTAATGAAACATTATACTCTGTGTGCAAAAGGGGTGAAAAAAACACCTTTATTTTGTAATGAACCCAATTGGAGCCCTTTTAAACACAGTGTAATATGGTCTCACTGCTTCATCGAGCCTCTCATTACTTGTGTCGATAATCCTGGGTAAACTACTGTTGAACTTCACAGCATTTATATAGTAGCATGAATAGCATTAAACTATGGGGTGCTTTTGACAAATTGTAGTTCAAAAAGCAAAGCCAAAAATTACTTCTTACAAAGTGCTTAGAAAAGCATTTATTAGAAATGTGTCAACCGCCAGCTACCTAAAGGCAGCTTGGCTACTTAGGAAATCACGCTGTTGGCTGGCTCACAGACACTTGGAACACATGTGAATTTTCCCCACTTGAATTACTTTAAAAAAACAAACAACATTCTTTTTATTTAAGTATATGATTTTCTGCCACTCCCTTCTAATTCTATATTTTTAATTTCATATTGCTTTCGACATAATGTGGCATGCTGTGCAACAATCTCCCAGGTCCCAAGAAACTCTCAGGTGAGAGATACACTTAGAAAGTTAAGGGTGAATCCTACTAGACTTCATTTACATGAGTGCATGATCTACACAGCCAGGTCAGCATGAATGAAAAGCTACTCCCAAATTACGCTCTAAGGATACACTCAATGATTCCATTCTCTCTGGAAGAAAGGTGGCAGGAGTGTCTACAAGGATTCACCACATTAATTCCAATATATCAGTCTAATTTGACTAGGCTGATCTTTCTCAAAAGATGGAATATGCACAATTCATAATATGCTAGAAATTAATCTCTTGTCTCTACCTTCAAGATGTTTGTATGTGGACAGTCTAGGATAGTCTATTCACTGAGAACCTTCATTTGCCTTTGACAACAAAGTAGTATTTAGAATTAAGAGATTGTATACACTAAAGCAATTTGGAAGTAGAATATTAGCTTAATATATTAATTTTTATCCAATTTTGACCTACATTACAGTAAAATAAATACCTGGGTAAAAACATAATACAATTATTGTTTCCCTAAATTTAAATATATTTTCAATATATTTTCAAAGAATTCGATTTTACCCCCCAAATTCTTTTTTTGTAACTAACTCATGCTTCTTACAGTATTCTATAATTTAGTCCATGAGAAAATATATCAAATAAACCTACCCTCTTCATTATGTCTAAGATCCATTGGATTTATGAAAACATCATGATTTATGCAATACTTATTTTGAATACTGTAATAATGTGTAGAACACAGTACTAGTCTTAGTAAAGTTTTCTTGGTGAAATATATGAGGAAAATATTCCACTCCCCATAGCTTCTCTCTGTCAGAGGTTCATAATATACCCTGCATATTAAAACGTTCTGAGAAATTCTTCAACAATGAAACCTGACTTACTTTGTTTATTGTGATAGTTTTCAATCTCATCAAAGTTATCTCCATCCAACAAAATGTTAGTGTTACATTATAAACAACATAATGTGGCTTTGGAGGTTGGAAAAAGCTGGTACTTTTCAATTTTGTGTGTTAATATTTATTTCTGAATTTTGTTATATATACTCAAATTGTGAGGTTAGTGGAGTGGGAAAAATGTCTGTGGGTGTTTTAAATATTGTTCATAAGAAATTAACACAGTTGTCATTAATATTGCATACCTCTATTTCTGCTCCATCTCAATGACATTCTATCACTCTTTGTGAAACCAGTTACAGTGATTATAAGTACATTTAAATGACAATACAGCCAAAATTAGCTATGGGAAATATAATCTTTATGATTCTGATTTATAACTAAAAGCATTTATTTGTATAATTGAAAGAAAACCATTAATATAACTTAATAGTCACCACACAAAATTACACAATATATTTGTAATAAGGAAGACTTATCACAAAATTAATTTTTATTTTTAGTGTATCTTTTAATTTTATTTTATTAGTTTGGCTCGGAACACGTTAAAAGTGAATCTTGGAGATATTTACACTTATGAGACCTTCTGAAAGAAAAAGAAAAACCTATTTAATTTTGTGTATTATTCTAAAGACTTTGAAAACTTTAAATAATTTTTCAAGGGATTCATTATTTCACATATTATGATGTCCAAAAGGTACTTACCATGTACAATGAGAACATACTCTGCACTGCTTTGGCCAATGGTGTTGGTGGCTTCACATCGATATGTACCGTTATCCGTTTTGTTCAGGAAAAGAATATTTAGCTCTCTACCACTCACAACCATCCGATCAGGATCTGGTAATTCTCCACCATCCTTTGTCCACAAAACAGGTTCTGGCCTATTGGATGTAAACACACATATAGTTAGAAAAATTAAGAAAATGCTACATATTTTGTGAATTAAATAAATCAAGCAGTTTATGTTTAACACCCAGTTTGTGCATAAACATGTGCTAACTTCTATAAGGTACCAAAAGAACCATCATGCACTCACTCAGAAGATTTGAAGGGATGACAAATATACTTTAATTCTATCCTGCTTAGCTAGGCAGGATATACACTTTCTTAGACATGCACTAAAAAAGTAATTTGTTGAGTCATCATAGGAGTCCCTGATATATAGCAGTTCCTGTGGGCCTGATCTGCTGCTAATGACTCATACTTGCTAATGTTTGGAGAACTGTCCTTGAGCTATTGGAACAGCTTTGTCACCAAAGGTACCTGGAATGATACTTTTGCACTAGGGCCACTATTGTGACACAGTTGTTGCCTGAGAACACTTAAAGCTTTTTCTCTTTGTCTCTCCTGCTTTTCTCATTCCCCTAAATGTTATTATTGATAGTTCTCTCATTTTTGCCCATAGTTATATTAATATACAATTAATATGTAATGCTGTATTAGCTTAAGGTGTACAACATAATGATTTGACATATGCATATATTGCAAAATGATTACCACAATAAGATTAGTTAACATTCGTAGTCTACATAGTTATAATTTGTGTGTGTGATGAGAACTTTAAAAATTACTGTTAGCAGTTTTGAGATATACAATGCTGTCTTGTTAACTATAGTAATCATGTTGTACATTACATCCCAGGAGTTTTTATTTTATAACTGGAAGTTAATACCTTTTGACTACATTCACATATTTACCCTACTCCCACCCCATCTCTGACCTCTTTTATTCAATATTGTACTTGATGTCTTAGCCAGAGAAATTAAGCAGGAAAAGTAAATAAAGAGCACCCAAATTAGAAAGAAAAAAGGAAAACTCACTATTTATAGATGTCATGGTACATATAGAAAACCCTAGAGACTTTACCCCCACACTTTCCCCAAATACAAACTGTTAGAACTAATATGTGAATTCAGTAAAGTTGCAGACTACAGAATAAATATACAAAACGAATACATTTATACACAGTAGCAGCAAACTATCAGAAAAATAAATCAAGAAAACCACCCCATTTACAACTGAATCAAAAAGAATAAAATACTTAGGAAAAATTTGATCATCGGTGAAAGATATGTACACTGAAAACTGTAAGACATTGATGAAAAACATTAAGAAGACACATAAATTGAAATATATTTAATTCAATTCAAAAATTAATATTGTTAAAATACCCATATGACCCAAAGCCATCTACAGATTCAATGCAATCCCTATAAAATTTCAATGACATTTTTCCAAAAACAAAACAACAATCCTAACATTTTCATGGAACCACAAAGACCCTGAATAACCAAGAAATTTTTAGGAAGAAGAAAAATATCTAGATGGATTACATTTTCTGGTTCCAACTGTATTACAAATCTATAGTAATTAAACCAGTATGATATTGGCATAAATACAGGTATATAGATCAATGGAAAAGAATAAAGAACCCAAAAATAAACCCAAGCACAAGTGGTCAATTAATTTTTGAATAAGGAGTCAAGAATACACAATGGAGAAAGGACAATTTCTTAAATAAATGATGCTGCTAAAACTGCAAAAAAAAGAGAAAAGCTGGATCTCTATCTTATACAATACACAAAAGTTATCTCAAAATGAATGACAGAGTTGAATGTAAGATCTGAAGCTATCAAACTACGAGGAGAAACATAGACAGCAAGCTCCTTGATATCGATCTTGACGATATATTTTTTTTTTGTATTAAGTACCCAAAGCAAAGGCAACATAAACAAAAATAAATGTGTGACTGTTGGTGTGCCATGCCATTAAGTCAACTCCTGGTGACCCTTTGAATGAGTGATGTCTACAATATCTTATCCTTAATAGCCCTGCTTAGCTCCTGTAGACTCCTGCCCATTTCTTCTTTTATGGAGTGAATCTCATATTTGTTGTTCCTCTTTTCCTGCTGCCTCATTTTTTTCCAAGCAATGCTGTTTGTTGTTTCCCCAGAGAATCGTGCCTTTTCATTATGTGCCTAAGTGGGACAGCTTTTTTTTTTTTTTTTTTTTTTTTTTTTTTTGTAATTTTTACCTCCAGCAATGTTTCAGGTTTAATTTGCTCTAGAACACACTTATTCACCTACCTGGAGGTCCAGGGTCTCTTAGAGCTCTCTTCCAACACCATATTTCAAATGAATCAATTGTTTTCCTATTAGCCATCTTCACTGTTCAGTTTTGGCACCCAAACAACATAGCAACTGGGGATACAAGGGTGTAAATGACCTTAGCTTTTGTCTCCAATGACACATATTTTCTCTTGATGATTTTTCCTAATTCATCCATTGCTGTCCTTCAAGTCTCAGCTTTCTCTTAAATTCATGACTACAGTCTTCATTTAAAATAATGACTGAACCAGGACAAGCAAAATCTTCAAGAATTTCAATATCTTCACTGTCTATGTAAGGTCATGTATTTCTTCTACAGTCCTGATGTTTGTTTTCTTGATGTTCAAATGCAGTGATGCTTTGGTACTTTCTATTTTCATTTTCATCAGAAGCTTCTTCAAATCATTGCTACTTTATGCCAATAAAATATGTCATTTGAATATCTTAAGTTATTGATATTTTTTCCACTTATTTTAATCCTCCTTCCTCTGAATTTAGCCCCATTTTTGACAGGATATGCTCTGTGTACAGATTAAACAAATAGAAAGATAAAAATGCATTCATGTCTGACACATTTGCCTGTAGAAAGTCACTCTCTCTTTCCATATTCTATCCTGACAGGGGCTTCCTGTCTACAATACTGTTTATGTATCCAGAGGATCAAGTGCTGGGGTACGTCACTTTCTTTCAGAACAACCCCTAGTTTTCATGACCCATGCAGTCAAAGGCTTTACTGTAGTCTATAAAACATAGGCTTACATTCTTCTGGAATTCTTTGGACCACTCCAGTATTCAGCAAATGTTTGTGATTAAATTTTGAATATCTTTTACCTTGTTGAGTCCAGCATTTCTTGCTCCATGTAAGGTAGAAGAAGCCTCCATTGCATTACCTTGAGCATCACTTCACTTTTGTGGAAAATTAGAGCAATGGTCCTTAGTTACTGAACTTCTTGGAATCTCATTTATTGAAAATTAGGGTGTATATTGAATATTTTCAGTCTGTAGGCCATTGTTTGGTTTTCCATATTTGTTGATATATCCTTGTTAGGATATTGACAGATTCAGTCTTTATGGCTTGAAGTAATCCCATCAGTGTCACATCTAACCTTAGTGATTTACTTACTTGTCCTCGATACTTTCAGGGTAGCTTTCACTTCAGTTTCTAGAATCATAGGTTCTTCCATATAGGAATGTTCTTCAAAGGTGTCTGTCATCCTTTTGTCTCTTCTGTATAGATTTCCAGTAGATTGTTTCCACCTTCCTTTTATGCTCTCTTGGTTAAGAAATATTCCTCCTTGGTCATTCAGCATTAGTCTAGGTTTGAATTTTCAAATTTTCTGGTAGAGATCTCTTGTTTTTCCTTTATATGTTGTTCTCTTCTACCTCCTTACATTGACTAATGTAATAGTTCTCTTTATCTCTACATGATACTTATTGAAAAACTGCGTTCAGGATTCCAGCCCTGTTTCTGTCATCTTTTACTTTTGCCTCATGCCTGTCTTTAACAATTTTTAGTGTTTCTTCTGTCATCTATGGCAGTCTGTCTTTCCTTGTTACCGCCAGCATTGCCTTTTCATATTCTTTCCTAATAATATTCCTAGTGTCAGACCACATTTCTTCTGGTTCTCAGTTGATTAAGTTTAACAGTGCAAATATCTTTTTTTATGAGGACTTTAAACCCATCAGGGATGTTATTTGTATTATATTCTGACACTACCATTCTTTCAGAGCTCTTCTTCAGCTTTACCTTAATGTTTGATATTCACAGTTTATGCTCAATACCACAATCAACTAACAACTTGTTTTGTTTTGGCAGAGTGATTTGGGGGTCCAAACGACATATAGGACTACATCAAACTAAAAAGCTTCTGCACAACATAGAATACCATTAACAAAATCAAAAGACAATCTCCGGAATGGAATAAGTTATTTTCAAGTCATATATCTGATAAGATTTACATATGCAACATATATAAAGAATGAATACATTTTTATAGCAAATAAATAAATCAAATAAATAAGCAGGGGAACTGAATAAACATTTTTCCAAGAAAGACATACAAATGACCAACAAGATATACAACATCACTTATCATCTGGAAAATACAAAGCAAAACAACTTTGAGGTATCAGCTAAGACATGTTTTGATGATTTATCATCAAACAAAAAGAACAAGAAATACAAGGGTTGCAGAAGATGTGAAAAATAAGGAACCCTTTTGCACTGTTGTTGAGAATGTTAATTGTTGAAACCACTATGCAAAACAGTATGAAGATAACTGAAAAAATAGAAATATCACATGTCCCACCAAATCCATTCTGGGTATTTATCCTAAAGAAATGAAATCACTATCTCAAAAAGATATATGCATCCTTTTGTTCATTGCAGCATTATTTACTTAGCCAAGACATGGAGACACCTACGTGTCCATCAATGGGTAAATGGATAAAGAAAATATATTCCAGATAGAGTAAGTGTTCAGCCATAAAAAATAAGGATAGCTTGCCCTTTGAAATAGATGATAAACCTTGAGGGCATTATTTGAAGTACTAGAGGCCCGGTGCACAAAATTCGTGCACTTGGGGGTGTCCCTCAGCCCAGCCTGCACCCTCTCCAATTTGAGATCCCTCAGGGCATGTCTGACTGCTGGTTTAGGCCCGATCCCAGAGGGACATCCCTCTCACAATCTGGGACTGCTAGCTCCCAACTGCTTGCCTGCCTGCCTGATTGCCCCTAACAGCTTCTGCCTGCCAGGCTGTTCACCCCCTATCTGC